CCTCCCTCTCTCCCTCCCTCCCTCCCTCCCTCTCTCCCTCCCTCGCTCCTTTCCTCCGTCCCTCCGTCCCTCCGCCCCTCCGCCCCTCTGCCCCTCCGCCACTTCGCCCCTCTGCCCGTCCGTCCCTCTGTTCCTCCGTCCGTCCGTCTCACCGGCCAAATATGGATTTTCCTTTCTCCCTGTGCGGCCGTCCCTCCCGCCCTCCCTCCCTCCCTCCTTTCCTCCCTCCCTCCTTTCCTCAGTCCCTCCGCCCCTCCGTCCCTCCGCCCCTCTGTCCCTCCGTCCCTCTGTCCCTCCGTCCCATCGGCCCTCCGTCCCTACGTCCCTCTGTATCCCGTCCCTCCGTCCCTCTGCTCTTGAAAGGCTTACCTCTCTCCCAGTCTGTTGTGGCAATATCACTCATCCTCGCTCCTTTGGATGGTTTTTCCACAAATGTGGCGTGTTTTTCCACAAATGTGGTGTGTTTTCTCACAAATGTGGCTTGTTTTTCCAGTTAGTCCACTTTTGTGCTCTCTGGATGAGTTTCCTTCACTTTGTTAGTTGCTCTGGCACATTTTTGGGTGTATCATGTCCTTTCTGCAGCTCTTGGTCTGTTCGTTCTGTTGCCCGCTTCGTCATATTTGCTTGCATTTGGAAGATTCCTTTTTCTTTCCTTGCTATGATGTGATCTGAACAAAATCGGCCTAAGGCTTCTTCATGCATATCATCCTGAGTAACTGTAGTGTATGTTAACATGCAGGAGGACGATGTATGCTTCCGTGTAAGAAGCCTTCGTAGTTACTTCCGGACGTGGAACTCCTAATCATACTGCATAAAACAACAAAATTGTCCAATCCCGACACTATTGACAAAGCGATCTCTGCCGAAATGCCTCCCTGAGGAAAATTGCGTGACAAAGTGTCAAATTTGAAATTTCATGATATGTGTCATCGTGCTGCATAGAAACCCTTCAGTACGTTGTACTTCAAGAAACAACCGCTGCACAAAACACTTTTCCAAGCCCTTTGTAAATCAGACCACCTTCGAGAAAGAGCAAGGTTACCCTGTTTTTTTTTTTTTTTTTTTTTTTTTAAAAAAATGCTCCAGTCTATTCGTGGGGAGCAGCACATGCTGGGAACCGGGCGCAGCATCCCATATCGAATTATACAGATCATTGAGAACATTTGAGGTCTTTTGCGGTCATTTGAGATACCGGGGCCATTACGCGGCTTCGGCTGAGAACAAACTGTAAAACATTTGAGGTCCTACGAATGCTCACTACTGTCAGGTTCGCTGACAAACCCTTCTAAGACTTCCCAACACCGTCTTACTCCTCCCTGCTGAGTTCTTCCAGGCCTCACGCCCCCATCCTCCTTCCTGGGTTACAGGGCAACACAACTCGCCACAGCTCCGACCAGCGTCATCCCAGCAGCAACCCTTGGTCGTCCCTTGGGATGCCCACCCCAAAGCATCCCCAGATCTCGATGTTTGCCAATTTGAAATTGCCATGAGAAGGGGGTTGCATGCAGTGTACTGATGATATCTTATACGGCAATGGTAGAGTTGTGCCCTAAAATGGTCACCTTCTCCTCTAATGAATCTACTTCAACTTTCACATAAACATAGAGTCGTGCACCAGCATTCCGGCATGCGATTATCTCTACAAATACATTATGAAAGACAATGACAGAGCTATGGTTGAAGAACTCGAAAGGCAACAGGATATCAACGAAGTTTCAAAATACCGTGACATGCATTGCATTGGTGCCAGTGAGGTGTGATGGAGATCTTTTCATGTTTTCCTTTAACATAGCAGTGAATCCAGTGATCATTAATGGACAGATTTCTTTTGCACTTGGATGATGAAGAACCGGTTTGTTTCGAAAATGACTGTGAGGAAAATGTCGCTGTTGGATCAAGTCCAGGGTGTTGTAGAAGTCGGTTTCTGGACCCACGACAGGTACCTATCTACAGTCAGCAACTAATTTATGGGACCCAGGCCATCCTATCTTGGAAGATCCCCGGGTGAACCCTAATAGGGAGCTCAAAGAAAAAAAAAAGACTCCACCACTTTGCCCTTGAATGTCAATGTAACCGGTTTTCGAGCTTGAGACAAAAAAAAAAAAAACAAATGTTGGAAACCGTGCTCGTCCGCAGGCAGACCTGGAGCCTAGTATCTGAAAATCTCTTGCCTTATAAATGCCTACCTCAGTCCTTCAACATGAACATTCTCGAGGTGCGACTTCCTTCATCGATTTGAAGACTCTACACAACCGATGCATTTTAGGATGCTCGCCAAGGGCCACGTTTGCACGACGATGACTCAGAATATGACAAAGACATTGAAACAACGACTCTGTATTACATGCCACACCAAATTAGACATGTATTTAAAATGCTTACTCTACACATGGATGTGTTTCCACATCCGAGGATGCTCACCAAAGACTTAATTTGGTAGACGATTTTGAATATGAGAAGGGTATGAGAACAACGACTCTTTATTGTATGGCACAGCAGATCAGGTAGGTATTCAACGTGCTTCTTTCGTACGACCTAGTATCAGATCCAAAGACCCTTTATCCAAAGCACTAGGAATTCATGTTCGAAGAATATGTTAGGAAAGCAGGAAGTACAACAGTCCCTCCAAGCAATGGGATTGATTCTATGAAACCACGCTCTGATTGAGCGCGCGGTCGGAGCTGAAGTTTTTGAGCGCCGCTCAATCCCGTGCTCAAAGCGCCTTGAGCGGGGTTTGCGTGGGCGTCGGGATATTTGTTTTTCGCTAGGCTACCAGAGTGGCCCGGGGTCACTTGCCCGGCCGGACCAAAAAAATAAAAAAAATAAAAAAATATTTGCTCGCTATCTACAGTTCCTCATTCAAGTTCATTAACTAAAACCAGGAACTTGGCACCATAGACAACGGATGGGGGGGAAAAGGGTCAGGGAAGTCTAACAGAGAACGTAGGGTATAGAACGGTCACATGATGTCCACTCCCCGAATACCAGTTTATAATCCCTACTTATCTCTTCATCTTCCATTCTAATAGCCCAATCCCACTGTATCTTTCCCAACTTTCCCCCCTGGATTCCTCCCAGACAGCTGATATTGAATTTTTGAATGTGCTTAAGAATCTCAGTCCGAGAGGATAAATGATTTATTTTTTCTTTTATTCGAGTCCATTTGGTGGAGATATCTGTTTGTATCTGTTGTATTATTGTTTCTGTGAACTGTGGGCCATCAAGACTGGCTTCCTCCATTTCATATGTGCATCGTCTCATCCATACAGCCCATATGTCTGCTCTTCTCCCTATTGTGAAGAGATTTTGTGTGAATTCCTCGTAGGGCTCTAAAATCCATGCTTCCAAGAGGATACTCTTCCATCCCCATGGCCATGGAATTTGAGGCCTGGGTCCCACTATCTTCAGACCCAGACAAAACTTGGGCGTTGCATAAAAATATGCTTGATAGTTTGTGAAATTACTCTACTAGGAAAGACCGTTTTACAACGTTTGCACCATTGGGATGCCTTTTCTGTGTCCACCGACCAATCGTTAGTGGGGAGACATTTGTGTTCAATCTTTTATTGGAGTGAGAGCACCTTGGCTGGTTTAGATTTCATTGGATTAAACCACTTGATCGTCCTTAAATCCTTCTTGCTCATATTGAGATGGTCCATCCATCTAGATGCTACTCTGTCTTTCATATTAACGTTTAGCTACGTGACATCCGCGGCCTAGGCCGCGGGTAATTCGGCCGCCGTGACCGAAGAAGTTGGCCGCGGCCGCGGCCAATGAGGCCCGGTCCGCGGCCTGTGTTTTTAATATTGTTTTTATACCCTCAAAAATACGTTAAAAAAAAAAAAAAACCATGGCTTGTAGGGCTTGGAAAACTCTACAATCCTATATTTTCTATTTTGGAATCTGACTTAGTTTAAGATTTAAAAAAAATGAAAAACGAAATTCAATTTAAAATTTTAAACAAATTATTAAAAAAAAAGAAAAAAATTTAAGCAGGATTTTTTTTTGGTCATTTTTTATCATGAGGGACATGGTCGCTGAGTTGTCCTGTATCTTTTGAGAAATGTTTTCCGGGTTTGTGTCGGGAAATTGGGGGTTTTAAAAATATTAAGATGCAAAAATTGAAAACAAATAAAGAAAAAAAGGGGTCAGGCTGAGGTTGGTGCGTGTGTGTGTCACAGTGTGTGTCCTCTCGTGTGTGTGTGTGTGTGTGTGTGTGTTTAAAAAGTTTGACAGAAATCTTGACTGAAACACATTTTCAAACTGAAACTGTGAGACCACCCTTGTTTTTCCCCTTAAAATTAATAATGAAGAAGGGGGGAGGGGTTGTGTGTGAACCCAAGATAGAGAGTGGGATAACCTGCTCTCCGGGGGCCAAGTCCCACAGGCAGCGTTAAGTGTTTTCAGCGCCTGAAAAGATGTGCAGAAATGGCATTGAGTTTCGTCAGCCGCACATCTCCTCAAACACGTCCAGATTCAGGAGTTGAGGAAACTCAGCGCTGCTAGTGGGACATGGCCCCGGGATTATAAAAACTTATCAAAGATTACAACCAACCAACCAACCAACCAACCAACCAACCATCATAATAAGAAGTGCACAACCATAGTGTACACAAGGAAGGACATGTCACATATGTTTTTTTCTTAAACATGCCCCCACCCACATATGTATCCTGCCAACCAGTCAATGTTCTGCCATTTTTATTTACTTTTTTCCCCAAAGGCGAGTAAACACACAAGATTGACACGCATAAATCGAGAAATAGTCCAGAAAAAAGAAAAGAAAAAATAAAAACAAAGGAAAAAAAAGAAAAAAAAAGGAAAAAAGATTTCGCCAAGATGACCTCCTTCACTGAAAAAAAAAGAATTCTTAGAGTTTGGCAGTCTGCCAAGATGACATCCTTCACTGAATTCTTTTTCTTACCAAATTTTACATCCTTCACTGAATTCGTAGAGTCTTAGAGACGCACATAATAGCTTTACAAGAAGCAGGTCCTTAGTTCAAACTTGCGCTCAAAGTCAAACTAACTAATATAAACTAAGGTCCTAAGAAGGATCGTCTTGCCTGCATTAGGCGTTTTTCCACTCACCTCCTGGGGCGTAACCACGGTCAGATGCATCCAGCTGTGGACGTAACTGCAGTCAGATACATCTAGAAAAGTCCCAGTGTCTGAGTACTATCCCCTCGATCTACGGAAAATCTGAAGCCATCCTACGACTTACCGGCACAAGATGAACCCACTTCTCACAAGTTCTCAGGGTTAACCTTGCGTTGAGTCAACGGTAAATATCTACTGAGTATGCACGAAGTGCGATGCACTTAGTACTATGTACTTAATGCTATGCACTTAGTGTAACAGTCAATGCTATGCACTTAGTGCTATGTACTGTACTCAATGCACTTAGTACTATGTACTTAACGCTATGCCCT